CCCGCCGCGATCTGACTCGGTACGAAATACGAATTACTTCAACAATTCCTAACCAAACTTAATAGATAACAGCTTAAATGATGCACATAATAACGTACTATAATAACGTATACAGTTTTAAACAAACAAATTAAAAATACGGACTTGCCACTTTATTTTCTGGGTGCGTTCGAAAATCTACTCGTCGGGTAGAGTAAGGTTGGATATGGGTAAACGTAAAACTCGATCGGAATAACACTAAAATTCAACGACTTTCCGAACGTATAAGGTAAAGTACTTTAAGTAATGGTGAAGTCGTCTCGGCTCGGGTGCATAACCTCTTATATTGTTGAAAAGTGTGGCCGACTGACTGTGCTTTCATATTCCAAATTTTTTATTCATTCATCTAATATCTTCTTAAGTAATGGTAGAAGTTACGGTTCGTCGAAATCGAATATTATTTTATGCAATGACATCTAATCATAAATTATTTGAAATATTTTCGAATGTTACGAGAGAAATTGAAAATGCCGAAAGTGACGACGATAATTTTGAGGAGATTATTTTAATAGAAAATATTTAACGAATAAGAGGAAAACGGAAAAAGCCTGCACGTATAACAGGTTATGTAGAAAATGTAATTCCTCGATACACTAATCAACAATTTCGGCATCATTTTCGAATGAAACCTGAAATTTTTGAAATCCTCGAAAATCGTTTAGGACCATTGTTATCTAATTTTGAAGCCTTAGGACGTCCAGTCATACCTGTACGTACACAACTTTTATCAACAATCTGGCTCCTCAGTACACCAGATTCCTTCAGGTAAAGCAATTTTTAATTGAATAAATTAAAATAAATTAAACACAAATAACACCTATCTACACTAGATATAAATTTGTTCTATAGATCGGTGAGTGAAAAATTTGGCTTGAGCAAGTCTTCTCTGAATGATAATGTGCGCCGTGTTGTTGAAACATTGAATAGTATTGCAAATGAAGTCATTAGATGGCCTACTGGTCCAAAATTGACAGCTTCAAAAGAGACTTTTATGTCTCTTGGAAGATCTCTGCCTGGTGTGATAGGAGCTATCGATGGTTCTTACATATTTATAAAGCAACCGAATATTCAGGTATTTTTTTTTACATTTAGTTATTTGAATTTTGTTTTATTTGATAAAAAAAGTATATCATATTTGTAGTTTTTATTTCTTTTTAGGAAATTGCTATTCATTATAAGTGTAGGAAATTGCAATATGCTGTGGTTCTTCAGGCAACTTGTGATGCAAATTTAGTCTTCATTGATTGTTTTGTGGGTTACCCTGGCTCAGTAGGAGATTATCGAATTTTCCGTAACTCAGATCTTTATAAAGAAGTTTCTAGAGATTCCTCTATCTTTTTTCCTAACGGTGAATTTATTGTGGGTGACAAAGCATATCCTGTTTTGACTTGGTGTATTCCTCCATTTCGAGATAATGGACGTCTCACACAAGTAAGTAGAGACAGCAACATTAAGTACATTTTCATAAATATCCTTTCCATTTTCTGATTAATATAATGGTTGTTTTAGGAGCAGAAGGTGTTTAATAAAGTGATATCACAAAAGCGACAAAGTACAGAAAGAGGTTTTGCTCTTTTAAAAGGAAGATTCAGACGATTGAAATTTCTTGACATGTCTCGTCTGGATTTAATACCATCTTTTATTATGGCAGCCTGTGTCCTTCATAATATTTGCTTGGAAGGCATGGATGATAATATGGAAGAATTTATAGAAGAAGGAAGAGAACCAGAATATGAGGAAGAAAATGATAATAGAAAAGATCAAGAGTACAATGATGAAGGGCAAGAATTTGCTGATGGTGAAGTCAAACGGAATTATTTATGTCTTCAAGTTGCTGGAAGACAATAAAAGTCAATCCGTAATGTGCAATATGTAATGTCTTTATATGCGATATACAGGGTGTCCAGAAAAGAGACGAATGACGTTTAAGGGGAGATTCTTGAGATCATTTTGAGACAAAAATTCTAATACCAAAATGTTGAGGCTATAATAACTATATATATATATATATTTTTTTTTTTTATTTTCGTGTCATACAATGGCCAGTTTAAGTAAAAATAAAGAATCGTGAAGAAGCGGCAATTTAAATAATGCAGACAAAGTCATAAAAAGCGTACAATTTTACAATTAGAAACTGTAATTGTATGGCTTTTAATAATATATATATTTACATAATACATTTTATATAAAATGTTATTTTGGAGGACACATTCAAATTAATCAAATTTATAATGTATTGAATTAAAATTTTAGTTAAGATTGGTAATATCAGAGAGATATGTTATGTGAAAGATACATATATCTTTATGCTTCTTCAAGTCAGCGTTATTGTTCATTATGTTACACATGTATTAAAAAATTGACACAATGTATTATCTATGATGTATGATTTTATTATTAAAATTTGAATTTATATAACATATAATGTTAGATACATTCTTTTATTGTGCACAATAACATTTTATATTGTTAATAAAACATTAGAATTCCTTATTGCTTATAAAACTACTTATAATTTTTATCTTGCAAAAATATATTTAAAAAAACATGACAGAAAAAACTAAAATAATTTTGGTTACACTTGCAAGTATAATCTTAAATATTACGCAAAATTGAGTAAAATATCACAAAATGATATGCAACTGCAAAACACCGATAAATTTAACGTATATATGGAGAGGTATAAGCCATTTTTTTCTTAATAGGCTTTCTACAATAAGCGATTACTTAAGCTTTAGTCTTAAATATAAAAAATTGAACAGTCATAGTTGAATGTGAGAAGAATAATCGACTGTGATGATTGATCAATTTCTTACCCTTAAGATTTAAAACTTAGGTAATGACTCACTGTAGAAAACCTATCGACTTAAGATCATTAGTGCAATCTATTAAAGCAAAAAAAATCTTTTTCTTGAAATCTTAAAACTACGCTACACCACTATTGTTTTGTACTTCCACATCTTCATACATATTACAATAAACAAAAATTTTACTTTAAGATTATAACAAAAAAACTTGAGGCAGTAAAATGTAAGCAGTATGGAAATCTACATATTGGAATTGCTACTGTATGTTATAGCCTTACGATCTCTATTATGACTAACCAATTCGCTTATTGTTTATATTTTAATACTTGAGTTTTTGTATTGCCATGATCCTTACTTTCTAACTATTGTAATAAGTAATATAATATATATAGAAACACGTATTATTGTAATTAGTGCAATAATTTCTTTGAAATAAGAAACAAGAACGTGAAATAAAAATTATGCATTACCAGCAAAGACTAGCAAAAATAAAAAGAGACTTATCAAATTAGAGATTTATCATACGAATAAGTAATTACAGCCAAAAATATAAAATACAAAAATCAATTTACATTTTATCAATAAACTTTTGCATTTGAGACTCATAAACGGTAACAGCATTGTTAAGAACATTTAGTGTTTGCTTATGTCGGTTGTCGCGAGCTGCTTCTCTTTTATTGGCATCATCTCTAAGAATCTCTAACCATGCAAGAGTATCTTTCTGAAGTTTATTTTTCTTTTTCTTAGGCTGATGTTTTGATAAGTCAGAATCGGAATCATCGTCTGTAATTGGTAAATTCTTGATGTTACGAGAAGAGGCAAGGCTTATAGGTTTAACACTTGGACTTTTTTTGAAAATTTCATCGAGTTCGTCATAAAATTTACAAGTTATTCTCGATGCACCGCTGCTTTTTTCTCCCATATTATCTTTTACTTTCATATAGCTTTTACGTATATTTTTCCATTTATCCTCAACTTGCTTCCACGTATATCCGGTGAAACCAGCATTTTGTAACTCTGGCTATATTTTTCCACACTTCTTCATTTCTAATAGTTGTGCTTGCAAATTCAGATGACTTTTTTTGCCACTGATCGATTAAAAAGAGTGTAGCATCTCTTGACCACCTTATGCCTTTATATTTTGTAGTCTTACTTGAATCCATTACTTGTGACTCTGAATCTATAATCTGTGACTGTGAATCCATAATCTGTGACTCTGCAGAATCCAAAATCTGTAATTCTAAATTAGATGTTGTAGTCATCAAAGAATTTGATAATTCAGATGTGCACATAGGAATGACTTTCAATAATATGAGATTCTCTGTTGTAGCCCGACATGCACAGAATGAACCATCTATAATAGAATGAAATACTATAATATCCTTTTATATTATAATATTTTATAAATTTTATTAATAATAAATATTTGTGTATAATATAAAATTATTTTATTTTCTATGTATGACCCTGCGCACAATGGAGAAAATGTTAGGAATAGGAATAAATATTAAGATTTTGACTTATTAGAAACCGTGTATTTCAGTATAACTGGTATGTAATAGGTTGAAATCTTAATATTTATTCCTGTTCCTAGTATTTCTTCTATTGTGCGCAGGGCCATACATATATAATATTTCTACATTCATGGAATGGAAGCACACGTTACTTGTAAAGCTCTAGACAATGCAAAGGAATAGCAATAGCAATAGGAATAACACAATTTCAATCTATTAGAAATCGGATACACCGAAATGCACAGTTTCCAATAGGTTAAAATGTTATTCCTATCGCTATTGCTATTCCCTCGCATTATGTTTTGGGCTTAACGCTATTATTTTGTATCATTATTTTGTTATGATAATGTGTGTGATTTGATAATGATGTAAAATTTTTATAACAGTATTGGTAACTAGAGTTGGAAAAGTCAGTCGTTACAGAAAAAAAGTAATTCGTTACTTATTGTAATGATTGCTAAAAGTAATGAGTCAATAGATTACAATTAAGTAATAAATTTTAAGTAATAAATTAAGTAATTATTTTTTTCAGTAAGTAACACGTAATAGTAACAAATATTACTTTTCAAAAGTGACTTTCCCAAACTTTCCAGTAACATTTTACTTATCATTAAAGTAATAAAAAATTGCAATATTCTTACTAAATCGTTATTATAAAAAGTAACGACGTTATTTCCATTCCTTGGCTACATTCCCAAAATGTCCTCTCCAAGGAAAATTTTGTTCGAAATATGTATAATAGTATACGTAATGTATACTATATTATATCAAGTAAAATTTTCATTGGAAAAGACGTTTTGGAATGTAACCTAAATATTGAATAAAATTTCTAAAAACAACTATAGAAAATAAAAGTAATTACCGTGTTGATCAATTATTATCATAATGTCATTTTGAATGACTAAATCACCGTTTTCTAAACGATAAGGGATATGACGTCCCCTAATTGGATTAATGAGAGCTGTGACAGTCTCAGACATCTCACAATCTTCTTCTTCTTCAAAAACTTAATTGCGTTTGAAGCCGGTCCAAAAATCGCAACAGCACGTCCGATCACATCTAAACATGACATCTCACAATCAGTTCGTTCCATTTTTGTCACTTCGCGCCAAGATAGCAGACGGTTAAACGAGTTACCCTGCCAACCTCTGAAAATTCAGAGGTTGAAAAAGCGACCCTAGAGTATAAATTAGTGACTTTACTCGATATTTCCGAACGCAACTGGTAAGTCAGTTT